ATAATATTACACAATAAAAATCAAGAAAATACGGCATTTTAATAAGATTAATAATAGTATAATAAATAAATATAAATTAATACTTAAAATAAATACAAGAATTAATAATAATAACAATCCTTGCATTCCTAAATCAAAAACAAACCATATTGATTTATTAATAAGATTTAACCAGTAATTAAAATATAGTAATATAAAAATATATTCAGCTTCAGTATTTATTCAAGTTAGCACTTTGTTTCGGTTCGGCTGAAAACCAATTTGCAGAATGGAATGCAATCGTTTTTGTTCTCCTCACCCATTTTCTTGGCACAGCACACCCTTCAGAAAGGCCATCAGTTACATTTTGGAATTTGAGTCGGAATTTTATTTATAATCAGCTGGCAAGCATCTCAGACACGCCTCGCTCTGTTTGCTGGTGTGGAGGAAAAACTATTTTTCAATTACACCTATAAAAGTGGCGGCCAAAAAGATGGAACAACAACGATTAAATCACAGCATGTGGTCGGAATATCAAATTTTCCATCGTATCGAAAACGAATAAGTCACCAGTGAAATGGCAAAAGTCAGCAATTACTTAAAACCGTGTGCACAGACTGGGAAGGAGACTCCGAGGCAGCTTCGTAAAAGGATAATTGTGCTGAGGCAAACAGTTTTCAGAGCACCGTTGGACGCAGAGCCGCGAATGCCATTCATAGTACACTCTTATATAGTCGTAGTTGTAGTTTGTACACAAACAAGCCCAAAAAGTTGTCTGCAAAAAGCAGGCGCACATAAATCACATGCGCCAACTAAAAAGGATGTGAATTATATACAAATGATTTGACATGCTGTTTGCTGTTTGTGGGTGCCAAGAACATGGGCGTTTCTCCGGCGGCTGGGGAAGTGGGGCGCATATTTGTCGTTGTGCTGCGGGCTGCCAGAAGACGATGCCACAGCGCCAGATAAGCAAAGCTGGCAATATATTTGTGACACATGGGGCAATGCGTATGCCTCACGCCTAACAGAACATTGCGAAACACAATATATACTAGTGGAAACGACTTGACCAGATTGCGCCAAAGTGGCTGAATTTTTAAAAGAAATTTCATTTTTTTGTGACAGAGAACCAGAAATTCGCTGCTTTTATGATTATTATGGATAATATTAAATACAAATTAAATGTAAACCGACTTGATTACAAGTTTGTCGCTCTTAGCTCTTATAGTTTTCTAAATCAAGGCGTTCAGACCTTCAGGCAGTTTGTCAAATTTCAAAAAACCAAAAAATCAGGTATATTTTTATTTTGCCTTTTCTATTTAATGGAAAAAACCGCATTGATATCACACAAAATGACATACAAACGGGTTAAGTTAAATGCCGATTTATTTTGGACAATTGACAATTGATTCCCTGTGGTGTAATAATTATATTTTCTTAAACATTCCATTATTTGTCTGACATTAATAATTAATGTTAATGTTCAACTTTCCGAAATCATATTTTGTTGTACTCGTATGTCTTGGAATTGGTATTATAAATAGGCTTAGTGAGTTGCCAGTGGCCTTGCATTCTATTATTTTCCCTTGTTGAAATGCACATTTCAATTGCTCTGAGTCCAGGCGCCAGTTGAACGCGCACGCACTTGTTCCACTGGCTTTCAATTATGTCATTAAAATTGCATGATTCAGTCGAGTGTTTGCCAGCAGGCCACTCCTGGACACAGCCTCGAGCGGAACTTGTGACCGCTTCCCAGCAAATTCTATGCAATTATGGAGCCAGTTGCTATTGAATTTATATTAATTGTAAATAGTTGCTTACAATTATTCCATTAAAGCCACTGGCTACTCCTCTGTGTTATAGTAATTATGTACAATCTCAAAAGGTAATATTAGTACTATAAGCATACAATCGTAAATAAAACTGAGTGCAAGCTATAGAACGCTATTCAGCCTTAAAACTGGAACTGTAACTGAGATGGATGCATTATTATTTAAATGCATCGTGCTTTATTTAATCAAAACTTAACATTTTTGGCTTACCTCTTTGGTAAAAGCTGCTTACGCCCCTGAAAATATATATTTCAATGTTAAATAAAATGTAATCCTTTCCATCTAATACAAATTAAAGATAATAAATTTAATTTAAGTGTTCTGGTTCATTAAGATTTGAAACAAAGCCGAAAATTCTACCCCTGAATAGCAGCCAGCTTTTTTGAATAGGAAAACTTACATTCTTTATACAAATATAATCAAATAATCTTAAAATGAACTACAATCTATTGATGGTGAGCTTACATCTATCTTATCTTAAATTGCGCTATTTTTAGTAAAAACTGACTGCCCCGCTACAGCAAAAATTCAACCCACAAACGGGTAAAGCCGTATAAAAAGTTAAGACTTGTATTTGTTAAACTCTATGTATATATGCTACCAACTAGAATGTTTTGCTTTCCATCAGAACTTTAAGCCCTCATATGTAAGTGGCCGGACTAGCAACATTATCACTTCGTTTTGAACGCCATAAAGTTAATACGCATATGGACGGTTCTGTAACGTGGCAAGTGCCAAAAGCCCAGATCCATCCTTGTCCGACCCGAGCTTGCGGCTAAACAAATGATAAAGTGTAGGCCGGCCAGGGCAGCAGAGACTCCGCTCATATTATGGCTTATTATAAATGACGGAATGTGAACTGCCTGTCATGTTTTATCTTTATTTTCGTGCATTTTTGGACACATTTCTGGGGGGACAAGACGAGCAATGTGGCATGTCTGCACATTTTCCGTTGCGTTCCTTTTCATATTTCTCTTTTTCCTTTTTTCGCCTTCCATTTTCCAACGTGATGATAATGGCAGGCAGACAGCGACCGCCAACTGACGGACATTTTTAACAAAGTGACTCGCATTAAGGATAATAGAGGCAACTAAAAGCACAACAACGAGATGAAACAAAGCAGCATTACGAGTCTAACTAGAGATATGCCGTACAGCTGGAGGGAGGTTGCAGCTGATGAGCACGATGACTGCAAGCGATTTGCGCGTCATTTGGAACAGAATAAACTGAATAAACTGAATAGAGTGCGCGCCTATATAGTCTCCATGGGTTTGTCTGCAGTCTGGCCAACCATCATTGTCAATCGGTGGTGCATGCCGCTGGCGCTGTCCCTGGCTTTGGCCCTGGGTCTGCCTTCGACTGTTGTTATCCTTGCGCATCCTGTCCGTGACATTTGGGTCGTCATTGTCGCTGCTACAAATGATTTATGGTCACGGTCATACAAAGACGTTGGCGCAGGAAGTAAAGCTCAAGAGCTTCTGGCCACCCTCGTTTGTGCCCCTCCCGCTGATTGACAATTGCAGCCATTGGCCGCCCATTCAAGGCGATTAGCCTTTCCACACCGCTCAAAACTAAACTAAAGCAAATATTTGTTTAACAAATTTAAGTGGCCTCTTCGACTAACTGCTTCAAAATCCCGCAATACAAATGACTCGAGATTTTTCATGGCGTGAACGACGACGCCATTTGATGCAGGTCATCATTCTGAGGGCTCGAATTTGTTGTTGTTTGTTGCTCGGTTTTATGGGCTTGTAGGCAGATGATGCGGCATTTTAGTTCTGGCCGCCAAGCATGCTCCAAATTATGCGCCCTAACGCGCTCTCTACAAGTATTCCATTCTCAGAAATCTTTTGTCATCATTAGTCAAAACTTTAAGCCGATTCAATCGATAGCACAACCATATTGATGTTAACAACATTGCGTGTTTCAGTTTTTTGGACTCTCGCAGAAATTATGAAAATTAAAAGGCGAAATATGGATCTCACGTGCCATATGCCAGATGTCTGCAGGCACAGCTGACAGAGACTTCTGGAACTTGTCTGGAACTCATTAAACAATTACACTTTTTGCGAGCAAAGTACTCGTAAAGCAATTTCGGAACCTAAATAAAAACGATTTCGATTGGCCGAATCATACACCCATACAAATACATACATACTCTACAGATACTACTTTCTGAAGGGCAACATAACTTGAATGCACAAAAAAAAAAATGTATTAAATATTTACGGATTGAAGCTAATTGCTTTTTAAAAAAAATTGAGCATAGGGGTATAGTTGGAATGGATATCTTAAAATTTATTTAAGTGATACTTCATTAAACTATTCCACAATAAATAATAAACATATACATATATGAACTTCATTCACAAATAAGGTAATATCTTTATAGGGTTTACAATTAAATTAGAAAATCACAAATCACACAAATATACTTGTAAACCATAACCTATTAAGATAACGAATGTTTCAGTTAATCACAATTAATCAGTAACTCTAATTGGTTGCTATATACATAATTCTATAAGCTTTCGAAATAATTAGATAATTAATTTGCATTTTGTATACATTTAGAAGTATTGATGGTAATGGTTTTAAATTTGACTCAAAGAAGTGGCTCCGGTTATTCGTACACCTCCGTAAAAATATTACTTAACCAGAACGTTGTGACTCTCAGACTCACCTACTATACAGAGCATTTACATTTACTTTATAAAAAAGCCTTTTTTAATAGGTGTTCGATTTAATAAATTCTTCAGTTTGGGTTAAGGTCGCAAATACGTCATAATAGTGAATTGTTTTCCAAACATACATACAAGTAAGTAGCTCTATTTACACATTTTTATAATTAAACTGTGCCCGAATGTTGCACTGCGTGTCCAACAGCCGTTAATGAGCGTCCCGTCAAAAGCATAATTTTAAATTATACCATCACATTTTCTTGTTTACGACAGCTGTACAAATATTTAGCTGGTAACCGAAAATTCCGAAACCATGGAGAAATTCAAGAACGCTACGACATGTTATCTAGAACAAAAATTCCGACTTGCGATCCAAACGTGACAAAAGTCAAATGCCCGAACGGCCCATGTTAGGGCAACCGCATGGAACGGTTAAGAACTCGTGTCTGGGAAGTCAACAAATTTTTGCGCACCAGAAACGAAATCATTAAGTTTGTAGGGCTCTTCGAAAACGGTTTAACAAATATACTTGTATATACCCAAGTCAGAATGTTAAGAAGTAATATAGCAAGGGCACTGCTCCTACTCTCGTTGTTGGCTCTCAGCGATGCCCGCCCAGAGCCACGTGGTGGAAAGAAGGCCTTTGGTAAGCAAACAGAAATCGAAATCGCCAGAAAAAAATCCCTCGATCTACAAAATTGGTTAATGTAACGCTACGGTATTTGTATTTCAATTTACTTGTTTGTTAAAAGAAATTTCGGATACAAATGCATATCGTTCAATGTGTTTTATGAAATTTTTGTGGAAGGTACAACTTTTTCGAAATATTTACAAATGTTACTACGCGGAATTATAACTTTGTGCGGAAAACCAAAACAGTATTAGTGAGTCAAAACCTTAACTACTAAACCTAAGAGCAAATGCATGCACTTGGCGAAAAATATATGTGTTCTTTTTCAAAATCAAGATATATTTTCGAAAAAGCGGTTCTGTCTATATTTTGTCTTATATTTTTCATGCTATACTTTTTAAATACTATATATAGATTGTGGGATTAATTATATTATAACAAACTGTACAACAAATTTTTTACTACAAATGTTAAAATAATTCTTAGTATATTTAAATATTCAATTCATGCTTTTGATTTCGTGAAAACTCTGTTTAAATCATAAATATAACAAGTATTGCAAGTATTCCAAAGTTTCAACAAAATTGAAAATAGAGTGAAATTCTGTCAATTTTTGAATAGGTGTGGTCTTACACAAAGATAAACTGGGTTCAAAGATCATATTGCTCGAGGAAATTATTTTCTTTGAAATGAAAGCAAACATTTAAAAAATTTGTTATTCGATTCGGATCTAATAGTTATAGTTTTAAACGCAAAAATAGACTTCGTTTTGTTGTTCGGTTCTTTGGTTTTAAGATTTATTTCCGTGGAGCTATTGGCCCTGATAATTACTCTAAAATGAAATAGAAATAGGCGAATATAAATATTTTACACTTATCTTGTTCACGTTCCTTACAGCCCTCGGCGCCTTGGGTGGCTCAATGGCGGGCGCTTTGGCTGCCCATGTTATGAATAAAGCTTCGGCTCCTGCACCGGCGCCCGCTGCTGGCGGAGCCATACAGGTACATCATATCCATCATATGGCTCAGACAACGCCAGAACCCAGACATCTGACAGTCATCGAAACGGGCGCCACGCATCCCAATGGCTGCTATCAGCAAACTATAAAGGAACCCATGCCGGGCAACCCCAAAATGTACACCGAAACAGTGCATCTGGTGTGTCCAACTCTACAGCAGGCCAACCAACCCGCACCACCCCCCGCTGTAGCACCTAGTGTGCATTTGGTTCCCGTTATGCCGCAACCGTCACCTGTCTTTCCGGCTCCTGCTGGACACCCTGCTCCGCCACCGACTCCCACTCATCCTGCTGACCACCATTCTGCAGCTCCTCATCCTGCTGTTATTTCATCGAATGCCACCCACACCCAAGTTGTTGTCGGACCGCCTACAAATCTTCTGCCCGCCGCTCCCGCACCAGCGCCACACCCGCACGCTCCCGCTCCTGCTCCTGCTCACGCGCCTGTTCCTGCACACGCTCCTGCTCCAGTGGCTATGGTTCCTGTCATGCATTTAGTGCCAGCACCGCATCCACAGCCACAACCCCAGCCACAGCCACAGCCGCAGCCCGCTCAGCCTGGTCAAGTCATCGTGCTGTCCAAACGTACGGAATATTACGGCAAAAAGAAAAACTCAGCGCCTTCGGCATTTGGACAGCAAAACGCGGTGTTTCTGTTGCTTGTGGTTTATGGCCTTAAAGCCCTTTTTGCTTGAGCGCCCAAGCAAATTTAGTTAGTTTTAAAAGTTCAGTACTAGCGCGCTTTTATTAAAGCTCCATAAGCTTTTAACCGCGTACATATTTGTTATTATGAGTAAAGATTTAACTTTCAACAACCGCGCAGATGAGACCTTTTTTATATGAAGTGGCAACGCCACTGCTTGTCCCATCGATAGTGCGCATAAGTCGCGGTTAATCGATAAAAACACGGTAATCGGCTTTAAGTTTAAAATGTGCATTTCCAAAACGAGTTTTACAAGTATTTTAGTAAGAATTACAAATATGAAGTTTTGTCGAAATATATTTCGAACGGAATGACTCATTTTAACTATTTTCCACTAATAATAAATTTGCCAACTTTTTAGTTAAATTACTTTTTAGAAGAAATGTATTCTCGTAATCGGTCTTTGCGGTATTCTTTCCAATATGCTTACATGTTACACTTTCATTTCCATTATTTTTTCGTTTCTGACGTTATGACAAACACAGGAAATTCTTTGTTTCTAACTTGATGGCTCAAGAACATCGTTACAACGACTACACGGCACTTATCGATATGTCAAATATTTAGTTTGATTTTTAATGCATTTTTTGCAGTATGTGGTTCTTATGCAAAAACCCTTTTTTGGATATATGATGTTTGGTACATTTATAGTTATAAATGAAGAGAAACAATAACAAAATATGAACGGTGGCAGTATTTTTTTCAATCAGTATTTTACGGAATGCAAAGTTTGGTCACACCTTTTATTTTTGCGCCGTCGCGGGCGTCCATTCTTTTGTTTGGTTGTGAAATTAAGAGTTGCCGGTTGAAACATGGAAGCTTGGGATCCCGAGAGAGATGTGGTGTTGACGGACTCTGAGGATGAGGAGGATATTGCTATGAAAAGGGACTTCAATGGTCGCGATGCCATACTCTTCGTTGTCGATGCAAATCTTGCTGCCGTGGCCGCTGATGAAGAAAACAACGCAGTGCGTGTTTTACAATTTATTTTAAGTCATTTTTCAATATATTTAATGCCAATTTCTCCTGCAGTCGAAACGCGCGCGTCTTATGGAGGCCCTAAATATTATACGCAGCGCATTTATATCGGGCATGTTGGTGAAAGACAAGGATCTGATGGGTCTAGTATTCGCCAATACAGAACACCAACCCTTGCCGCAAGAAGCCAGCTGCCTGGACAATATTGTGTTGCCTGCCAATTGCGCCGTTTTTCTCCCATTACGCCAGCTGACCAAACCAATAGTGGAGCATTATCTGGAGTTTCTGGACACAGCGGACACACATTTCGCGGGGGACTACGGCCTGGCCGAGCCGGATGGACGTGGCAACTTCGCGAATATGATTCGTCTGTGCATTGATCTGCTGGAAAAGTGCGGCAAAAAGCTAAACAACGCCAAAATCGTGTACATGACAGATGTGCAGGAGCCCGTCGATCCATCGAGTAATGAGTTCCAGGCTGCTGTGCAAAAAGCCAAAGATCTGGAGGGAAAGGAGTTCGAATTTCATGTCATACCCATGGTTGATAACTTCGACTATGAGCCTTTCTACAAGGAGTTCATAAGCTTGTCCCGTGGTAAGTTTCGCTTATAGAAGTTGACTCTTTATGCGATATCTGTTCCCCCTGAAAGTGTAAAGTAATAACATTTGGGGTTTAACGATGTCGCAGAGCAATTGCGCAAACACTTCACCCGCAGCTGAGCTAAGTTCTACCAGCTTGCGTTTTTGAATTTGCATACAAAACATAAAGCCCAAATATGTTATATAATGATAGGAGCTGTGGCGGCGTTGCAGAACCTATAAAGAAGAAAAATAATTGATTACAGCTATAAGTAATAATATTAAAATAGGTTAGCAAAATTGTAACTAATTCCTAATAATTTATAGATATCGAACCGGATGCCTTTCAAGTGCCAGATGCGAAACAGCTGCGTGAATTGCTTGAGGATCGCAAACTGAAGCAGGACTTTTTGCGTCGCTGTCTGGGCCACTTCAGTTTATCATTGGGCCCCGATCTGAACATATCCGTGCAGTATTACAATTACTTTCTGCGCCGGAATTACCCGAAGAAGGTAAAAATCTTACGTCGTGACAATAGCTTGGTGCAAACCAAACGCTCCATAATGGTGCGAAAGAAAGATGCAGAGTCAAATGAAGTAACACACGAGTATCAAATCAAGATGACGGGAGGCTGGCACGAGATCAAGTTGGGCGATATGAGTTTACGCATCACCACAGAGCAGTTCAATGGCGTGCGAAACATGCATCCACCGGGCATGATGCTTTTGGGTTTCAAGCATCGCTCCTCGCTCTCCGGAATGTTGTATAGCAAGCCATCCAACTTCATGTACCCCGATGATCAGAAAATCATTGGTTCGCGGCGCCTGTTTCGAGCACTTTGGCAACGTTGTTTAGAGCGTGAGAAAATTGCCATTTGCTTGTTTATGTCGAAGCGAAAGTCAACACCGCGGTATGTAGCATTGGTGCCTGTGGAGGCAGATGACACGGAATCAGAGCAGAGCTATCGCTCTCGAATATCTGGCGATGGATTTAAGATTGTCTATTTGCCGACAGAGAAACAAATACGCCAGATTGATTGGACCGAGTGGAATAATGTTGCCAACACAGCGACCGAAGAAGGCATCGACTTATTCCAAAAGATAATCAAGAGGCTGCGCGTTAATGAATATCAGCCCTATTGCTATAGGGATCCCCATATGGATGAGCTGCAAAATAATTTAATGGCGCTGGCGTTGAACATAAAGAGCGAAACTGAGACAAATGTAACGGATACGAAAGTGCAGGACGAGCGTCTTTCGAAGTTTTGGGATGACTATGACAGCATATTTGGGCCCGAAGAAGCGCCGGCCAAAAAACGTACAGCCAAGTCAACGGCCGAGGGAGCGAGTGCGCCCAAGCTGGCGAGAGTAGATGATGCTAATATCAAAGACTATGATTTTGTTCAGCAGCTGATCAAGGATGATAAATTAATTGGTTGCACTGCCAATCAATTGCGTACTATTCTCAAGGAACACTTCCAAGTCAAGATGCCAGCCTCAGCCAATAAATCCGTGCTCGTGGAGCGCATTGTAGCCTTGATGAACGATTAAACCAGTCTTCAAAGTGCTGTGCAAAAATTGTATAAACAACTACAGATACCCCAAAATATTAAATGGGAGCTTGTTAAACTGTTAAAAATTATGTCCCATAACATTAGGCTAAGCTAAAGTATTTTTATACACATTATGCAATTAAATTAGAAAGCTGTTGTACCAAAATTTGTGGAGAATATTTGAGAATCTTTCGAGTAACTGAAAAGGCAACAAACAGAACAGAAAATAAGTTGTTAAACAGCTTAACTATAAAATATAGCTTCAATTTCTAAATTGTTTTCATTCGAAAAATGCTGCATTGATTATTGTGCCATTTCCGTTAAAAACCTGTTTTCATTTTGTGATACCAGCTGTTAAAAATATAAAATTAGTTAGTTGAGAATATTTTATACATTTGTGGGTTTCGATTTAAAAAGCCCTAAGAATAGAGGAAGGAAATTTATAAAATGATTAAAATTTGTTAATAACATGATTATGCTCATTTTATTGTTAAAATTCAATATGAAATAAAAATATTAATAAACAAATGAAATTACTTATGAAACTAATTTTAATTTTAAGGAGATTTGTGAGCCAACATTTTCTGCAAAGAAAAATGTGTTTATTAAAACTACAAAATGGAATATTATATGAAATATATTTCATATACTATTTGTATGGGTAAAATACTTGTATATGCGAGTATACATATGGATTTAGTTTTTTTGAGAGCAGGTGGTAATTAGCCTTCCGTACCAACTCCTGATTTGAGAGTGTGATAGTCTTTCTACATAGCTCTGTCCTCACATCCTGATTAATTTACAAGAAATTCTGCTTTGGCAATGGCAAGAAGACCCTACCCGCATAGAGGCTGCAAAAAGGAAGACGGTTGATAAAATTCTTTAAAAGGTGCTTTCTACGATCGTTTGCTTATTTTAACCATTCCTGGGCCTAGTGCCTATCTGACACACTTTCGACCTTTCGCATCGTCTTAATTTGGCTCTTGGCCCGCATTAAACGTAAACTTAACAAGAGTCGAAGTTTTTCCGACTTTTGTGCTAGCAACTTGGCACTTTGCTGTTCCTTTGCTTTTGCCAGCAACTACTACTGAGAGAAAAGGTGAAATGGTTGCTGCTGCTGTTGCATTTAAAATTATTAAAAGTGTGTAAAAAGAAGGGGGGAGGGGTAACCGAAACCACCGCAGTGTGAAAACAAGAAGTGGTTTGTCGTACTGCCAAACGGATGTTGCTGCTGCTTTTGCTTAACTTCAAGATGCAGCACTCTTTTTTAACACTTTGCCGTGGCACTCTATTTTAATTTTGTGGGCGGCACATTTTGAAGTTTACCTTTTTAGCAATTTTCAACGCTGCTGTCGGCGGGTGGCAGCCGGCAGCGGTTGCAGTGGTTACTTGTGGCCAAGTTGAAATTACTGACGAGCGCACAAATTACTTCAACATGCGGCTTGGCCACTTCCCGTTTTTTGTTTCCAGGTCAGTTGACCAACTCACGAGTGAGTGTAGCAGAGGGTGGAGACAGATGGGGGAATGGGGTGAACAATTCGCAGCTCGTGCTTTTATATTCTTATGCAACTAACATGTTATGTTTCGAATATAAAAAACTTCTTAATTGCCAAAGTAAAAGAAGTCTCAGAAGTCTCTGAAGCAAAAGATACCTCAGTGAAGTTTTTAACTTGCCTAAATAAAATTAATACTTGTAATTAACTAATGGATGAAACGCTTCAATAACCATGAATATTTCATTATCAAACAATTTATGATCATTCAAATTTTAGCTGATATTTCCTTTATTAATACAAGTAAGAAATGAATCTAAATGAATTCAATATTTAAATAAATAAAGAATTTAGAAATTGGTGATCTTTGAATTGTATTACATTTTGACGGCTAATTATTCCATATCTATAGATCCATAAAGTACACTGCTGTTAAATGCTTAAAGATTCAAGAAGTTCCATTCAACAAATTATTAGTCTGGCGAATCTAATTCGCTTTCAGGACATGCAGTTTCGTTTTGATTGACAGCACAGCTCTGATTATCTTTCTCAACTTTCTCAAATGCCTCTTTAGTTTCCTTCAAAAGTTCTTGACATTGCTCGTAAAGATTAGTCTCGCTTAAGTCCCCATTGTAGTCGAGAAATTTTTGAAGTATCACCATCTGTTGCTTAATGCGTTGCTTGGTATCATCCAGCAGGACTTGAAAGTCCTGAACCTGACCAACCTGCACCAACTGCTTGTGTATGTTGCGATTTTGTAAAGTTTTGGAAAGGCGTTCCTCTGCAGCACCAATCTGTTGCATGCAAAAACCATGGCGATGCAATTGGAAGCGTAAAGTGTTCAGCTGGACTTGAAGGTTACGCATGCGTGGATCGTCCATGACTAAAAAAGCGATATCTTTAAAAATATAACGAAATTTATTGTAAAGTTGTGCGATTGTTAAATTAATTTGAAGTGAATGAACGGGCAGAGACGCTTTTGTTTTATATAAAATGTATTTAATAGGGCAGAAAAACCACAGTCTACTTCAAAAAGCTATTCAATGTTCAACAATTTGTGTTCTTAAAATGGTTTAGTAAGTTGTTCTCTTGAAAACATTTTAAATAAAATAGATTTTTGTATTGGAAATAGAGCAAAGATTTATTAAAATGGTAATGCTTTAAATTTAATCAAAATGTGCTTCTTGTTCGATTTAAGAATTTCAAATTGATTTGACAAACAATTTTTAACTACTCCACTAAACAAACTTTATTAATCAAACGCTACTTCCTGTGCGGATGATCTTTAGAGCTATATACTACTTGTAAGTATATATCAAAGAGAAAGTTTTATCAATAAAAGCCAAAACTTTGAAACTTAAGTATTCCAATACGAAGTTGAATGTTAGTTAGTTGAATGATTTAAATAAATTGTATAAGGAAAGAAATGCAGTTTAGTTATGCCAGGAAATCTAACCAATTTAGTCATCGATTTAAATGCGATTTGCACATTTCTCGAATGGCAATAAATAACTTTGGCATATAATAAACAACTTTTTTGCATTGCAATCTGAAAACTCAAGGCAAACTAAGTTATCGTAACTGCAAAGCAGATGCAGGTAGAAACGTTTTGAAATGTAATCAAGGTGACTAGCAATTGTGTTAGACTACAAATACTACATAGGAGTATACTTGTATGTATATGTACATATTCGACTACATATCTTACCAATAAGACTTGCAGCTGGAAAGTGAAAAAATACATATACGAGTAAGCTGCAGTTGTGGAGAGCAGTCTAGACTGAGGGTTGCAACTTATGGAAAATATTTCAAACTCCATAAAAGCTCTGCTACGTAAGAATTGCAAGGAATTTCGACTTTCAGTTTTAGAACTTGCAACATTTTTGTAGCTTTGTTCAGCAGAACAAGCAGGAACCGTCACACCCACTTTTTTCTGAACATTTTCATTGACATTGTTGGGTGAGAGGGGGCGGAGGGGGAAGGTGGGGACGTAAATAAAAACACTCACCATGTCAGACGTGAAAATTTGTCAGTTTTTTGTGGAGAATATGCATCATGGACATAAAAACGAGGACATCCACATCGAAATCAGGAAATGACAGAATGTAGAGACTGCATAAATACAATTTATGCATGCAAGTTTTATGTTTTTCAGCAGCGGCAGGAGGGGGGGCTGGGCTAGAGTATAAGCATGATATGTATTTGTGTATGGGGCAAGCATTAAAACAAATTGCAGACACAACACGTGAAACACGAGCTGCCAATTTATCAGTTGAGAGACAAGCAAATCGAGTGGCAGAAAGTGGCTTCAAGTGCCTGGGTCATGAATGTACTATTTAATTGGTGAACAAAAATGTATTAAATTCCTGAGTGCTGCATTTATATTTTCATCTATTCGAGGATTAATTGAATTACTCAAACCCTTATTTGGTAATACATGCCTTAAATGAAAGTTTAAAAGGTATATAGCAGTGGAATGGGGCCAACGATTTTACATTTTAATTTCGGCTTGAGGTAAGGCATTTGGTTTATCAAATATCATTATGACTGCTATAATCCTAAAACTTTAGAGCTTTTATAACCTTTTCAAATGAACATTGATTGTTTTATTACAAGTATTGCACTTATTTAAAAATCCATATTAAAACACGATTATACGCTTTCATTGGCTTAGCTTTAAGAGTCAATTAAAATGAATTTTTCATCAAATATTGGAAGACCATTACTCTCCTGGGTATTCTCAGAAATCCTACATGTATAATTTCTTACATTACTTTATAGTATTTTATTTTAGCGTCAAGATGCATCTCCCTCTTTAACATATCTTATATTAATCAGTTTTAAATGTTTAAATATATTGTTAGTTTTATTGTATGTACACTTGCTTGTTTTTGTGTTTAAATAGCTTTTCTTTCCGCTGTAGACTTTTAAAATCCTTTTTCTGTCCTTCTCTTCGAAAAGAAATACTCAAAACATCAATAACGACGCGATCACAAGAATCTACATTCATCGAGATGAGAATTATAATTGTTTAATCCGATCAGATGCAAGTGGATATTTAAATAAACAATAAAATAGGTAAAATGCGATTTCGACTTACGGTGTGAAGAATGGCGAAATAGTTGTATATTTCTGCGATCCTTGTTATGTTCTTGCACTATTTACACTTCTTATCAGTTGATTGTGTGTGCATGTGCGTTGCTTTTCAACTTCATTTGTGGTTTAAAAAGTCTTCAACTGTCAGGTAGCATGCCCTCATTACGCTCAGGTGGATCGCAACAAGTAGATGTTGCTTTCACAGCATCATAACTACATAGTAGTTGCGATGTATGTAGCATGCCTTACCTACGATGCCGCATTTCACTTGCAACATTCCAGCATTTCACTTTTTCACAGAGCTCTGAGGCTTGCCTAAAATGCGGTAGCATTTGGGAACTTCATTGGCCTCTGACATATGTACGTTCTTGGCTGCAATATAAATGCTGATGTCTGTGCAACATTTCGAGGAGGCAAGAATAAAAGACGCCCGAAAATATGCTACAAAAAGTCGTGAACATGACAACTATGAAACACGCAGAAAGAAAGCAACAGAAGAGAGCTCAGCATATTTCAGATCCACCAACAATGCACAGAGTGAGGACATCAAAAAAACACGAACATACACGTACATTGAAAATTTTCTGATATCGCACGTGAGCAGCAGGTGACGTTTTGCAAAACTGGTTAAAAGCAAGGTGTAGAAATACCAGGGATGGCAAAATTTAGAGATATACAGCTGATAGTAAGGATATTGATGGGAACATACATACAAACATACACATTTAAGGAAGCTGCAAGATGTTGTAGACATTCTTAAAGTTATTTCTGTTAAGAGAATAAAAGATAAACAAATGTTATACAAATTACATTTCATTTACAATTTTGTAGCCACAATGTGAGTTTTCTTCTCGTGGTCCGAACCACGCCGCAATCAATTCGCAGAAGCATGATCACAAATTCAAGTTATAATAACATTTAATAACTGTCCAACCTAATAAACCCATAAAGTTTGATTAATGAGTTTGTTAATAAGCAATTATATTTTAATTATACATATCTATTTCAAGGAACCTTGTTTTGGAACCTTGTTTTGGTTAACCGTCCAGTATCAGCAATTATGAAAACTGACTCATAATGGACTTTTGAATCCTGTATCGATACCTTTATATAAACAAATTCTTCTTTAAATATTGTCTTATAGCTATTATCACCTCGTACTTTCTTAGTACTAGTTTTAACTTAATGATAACCAGCAGGTAGACTGCTGAAATGTTGAACTCTTGGAGGATACTCTTAAAGTCAACAAGTATGAGAAAGAAGCCATAAGTAGTATAATAATAATGTGTTCTTTGGATGTGAGTTCAGTATATTGTCCCAGATTGCTTAAATCAATATTTAAAGCACATATGTATTTGAACTACATACTTTATATAATCGTATGTATTTTATGTAGATTATTGATTGATTGTATTGTCTCCAAATATTCGAATAGTTCACATTTATTTATGTGCTTCAACCTTGGGTTCCATCCCTAGCTTATTTTGATTGACAGACGTTAAGGTCCTGACAAGTCATAATGAACCCACAAACTGCTCTACTTACACACTCAAACAAACCCAGTAAGTTCCTTGAAAAAGTTTCAATAAGCATCGCCCAATTAGCACTGTCAGCGTGTGTGTGTTTGTAAGTATGTTTGCGTGTGTTTGTGCGTTTGTATGTGTATGTGGCTGCACCAGCCGTCATGCAGCTAATTATTTAAATTAACAAGTGTACACAAACACAATCACATTTTCAATGTGCGGGAGTCTGTGCGTGCGTGTACAAGTATGTGCGTGTGTGTGAGCTTGTTTGTTTATTTGCTCACGCATTTCGTCAGCCATTTAACACGTTCGACATTAACGCGAAAAATTTGCTCGCAAACTATTTTGTCATTATGCGGCAAACACACAGCTTTTGAGGTTTGTTTGTGCGCGAGTGTATGTTTATATTTGTGTATTCGTATGGCTATCGCTGGATATAGACAGGGGGCAGTAAATTTGGAAATGGTTAGGCAGAGCTCAAAACTTCAAATTTGTGGAGTTTCATAATAAATAGTTGATAAACAATTTAGTTTATACCATTATTATATGGAGCTTTGCCTTTTCGATTAATTGACAAAATAATAAAGACTCGTTCAATCAGATGTTGAGTTATCATGAGTTTTCATTATCCGCATAAGACAAATCGATTTTTAATGCTTATTGGCATCTAGTTGAATACAATGTAGCGGTCAGCACATTAGAAGATAGCTGCTCAACTGATGCTCTTTTAATGATTCGTGTCATCAGACTCATAATGGTATACGCAGCATAATATGTAATATAATCTATCGACGGCAAGTAGAGGCAACAAAATATTTGCAATAGCTTTTTCGATTTTTCTGTTAAATATATGTGAAAATGTTGCTTTAAAAAGTAGTTTTTAAGCAAACTCTTTTGTATATTTTAAGCGAAGAAAATATAAATATTTCTAGCATATTTCCCATATTGTGGATGTCGGCGAACAGGAAATGTTAATTCACTTCTCCACCCCTAATATGTGTATTTATTTTTACACTCACGAACACACACGTTTACGAGTGCTTATGCCACAACGGAATTGGGTCAAGCGGAAGTGTCGCTAAAATCATTTCCACTCTGGAAGCGAGCGTCGCGGATATAAAATAAAAGAGACCCCTCATATTGATAAATTTTGGAAATCAAAGTTGCAAATTGGGAAACATTAAGCGTAATAGATATCGAAATTGGTCATCATAAAGTTGTTATGTGTTTTACTTTCTATTGATTGATCATCGCATCGACATACGAGTATTTGTGTCTTGTTTGCATATGTCTTTTCGCTGAGCTTAAACACACACTCTTGCACTCATGTATATACATGCATACATATATATTAATATTACTCCCACTTCCTGATGTCAGCAGGCGACTTCTCAATGCGCCGCATGGCGTCCAATTAATCAAATTGTCAATCGTGTTGATGATAGACTATGGCAAGGGGATGTTTTTACTTGCATATCTGCCTCAGAGCCAACATCAGTTTATTTTGTTGTAATTTTTCTTACTTCTTATTGTTCTCTGCAAATTTACTGCCATCATTCACAACATCGCAGGCCGCACTTTGAACCACAAGGACCCGACCAAGTTGTTTAATATGCGCTGTTTGACTTTTTGGTCCCAACTAAGAGAAACCGGAAATGTGGTCGCCATTTCTGTGTGTGGTCGTATTTACATATATATGCATGTATTTGTATGTACATCTGTGTGTGATTGTTTGCGGTTTCGTTTGATTCACTGCAGCCTTTGAATGTTTGCTGTTGAAAAGGTTTTTGCGAGTATTAGTTAGAAGCTGGCTTTAGATGATAATTACAGAAATTATTAATTATTACTTTACAAATTAAAAATATACGAAAAAATTGTTTTGTTTTTTAATATTTGAGAACTTTTTTTTATCGTCAGCAAAATTAAAAATATTAAATATTTTATTTATTACAAATGATCACTTAAAAAAAACATGTATTTTCAGTAAAAAAAAGAACTAACTAAAATCATTTCTAATTTTGATTTTAAAAGTAATGATCTTTTTGATTGAAATAATACCTATCCAGACATGCATTGTTGAATATACGAGTATAGCTACTTGAAGAGAATTTAGGCACATAGATCTCCCGTGTAGAATCTACTTAAAGTCCATATTTGACGTGCCAATTGAAAGCTGCGTATTTGTATCTCAGACAGTTCAGCAATCCGGTAAGCATTTTATGTTTGATTGGATAAAAGGCTGGTATTCAAAATGAAATTGATTTAAAGCTCTTCTGATTTATTGGAAAATATACTACACATTTGGATATACTTACTTCTTATGTGAATATTTTCCATCATTCCATCAAATATCGCTGGTCACTTCTAAAAACTGATATTTAAACAGTATACAAAGCTATACAAGCTAGAGTTAATTGTAATGCATCCGAAAAAGAAAAGCTAAAATGAATTTTTATCCATCAAATGAAGTACTTTTTTCTTTCAAATAACGCACACAATAAATTAATGTTTTGTCAAGCTCCTATTGCAATTGGGTTTTGCAAACACAACCATTTTAAATTTGTTTACTAACCACAACTAAAGCGAATGCATTTGTTGCGCTTTAAAAACATTTGCAATACAATTTCCAGCTCGCAATTTGCACGAAAAAGTCAACGAGCTAAGACAGATTGCCCTATGAAGTTATTTTATTACCTTTTATTCGTTATCGTGGCATGCATTTGGTCAGCATCTGCTGAATGTGAGTAAATAATGCCACTTTATGTTTAAATATTCAATTAAAATCCAATATTAGGTAGCATGCCTGGTGTTGATGTGGTTCCGCGTAAGTATCTATAAAAACAGACCGTTTCATCTCAATTCCTAATCATTTAATACATTATAGAATGTCGAGGCATTGAGGATTGCAAAAGTAAGTTCTTTGTAGACTTAACATTTTACTCACAAAGCTTATAAATTGATTCCACTTGCCGACATAGAATTTAAGAAGTGCATTAATTTGCAAGCAAAAGTGATTCTCACATCCACTAGAAAGAACATCCGTCAAAGAAACCTATAAAGGTAAGACTAGAAAATTAAATCGTTAATCCACTATTTTGCTAATTGTTTGTGCTTTTTTTTATTATTTCAGAAAATAGTGGTAAAAATATTATACTTTATTAGCGAAAGAAAGAAATGATTACACCCCATTTATTCAATTTTCAGATTGACAAAAATACCCCGCTGATATGGTACCTTACTGAAGGAAAACAACCTAAATAATGGCAAACAGGTCTTCCATTTGTTTTAGTGCGCTTTCTGTTCTAGAGGTATATCGAAATTAAATATCTTACCTTATACAAGTATATAATGAGGTGAAATAATCATGGAAATGTATTTACGAAACTTTATCAAAATCGTTTTTTTCTTCCGCTTTGCCATAAGAAAAAAGGTTGAATATATATATTGCATATAAAAAGATTATTTGACAAATGTGTGTATATACACGTATTCCAATACTCTTGTAAAGATAATATTATCCATTGATTGGGTCTGTCCATTCCAAAAATGTTTGCGATCTACTTGGAAAACAACTTTATAAGCCACTCAACCAAGAGAAAAGCACTCCAGTATTAACAAGGCAGCCCAGCTGGCAGTATAAATATTTGTATACGCGTCAACACATACTTGGTATTTTCTCTTTTGTATTGCCAATAAGTTTCTATTAATTAATTCCAATTACCCTGCAGCGGCTTAACAATTAAACTACGTTGCAACATTCGCGAGTCAGCACATCTATGTAGCAGCTCGAGTGAATTGTGTTCACACACACACACACACACACAAGCACACTAGTTTGCTAATATTCCAAGGTTTCAGTCCTTCTCTGCCTGCTTCGGATTTGTATCCACAGGCAATTGTCGAAACTATTCGCTGCGAAAGCCACAAATGATATCAAAACGTCAGCAAAAGGTAGCTAGTTGGCTAAGACAGTCACTAGTTTGTTGCAGAGCTCTTGTGCTCACACACATACTAACATACAGTGTTATAGGTTTAATCAATTTTCACTTGTCAAAGGATATTGAAAATTCTTCAACAAGTGAGACAACACTGAGACAGCCACAATACAAATTTGAAACGTATTAACACACATATATACATACAAGTACATGCACACAATAGTATGCAACAGCCAAAAGGCGCAAAGTTCTATGCCATTAAAGGCGCCACAAATTTAAGAGCAATGAAGACACACAACAAGAAAAATACAAGTACTTGTATATCGAATTAGGTATAAAATTACTTTCACTGAGTAGTTTTAAACAACAATTACAGCAAGTGTCAACAAAGATTCTTCAAACACAATGTATATACTAAATGTTGTCTGCCTGTAACTTTTGTGTTGCTAAAGTGCAAATGACGTGAAAGTAAATGAATAAAGTAGATTAAATGCAATATTAACAGCAAAAGCCATTGCAAAGTGAAACAAAAGATTAAAACTTTTATAATTGATTGTTGTGGTAATTAGTTTTGTTGGCAGCTAAACAAAAGCGAAAGAAATAATATAAAACCTAATTGAGTATTTGCACGTAATTTAATTAAATATGAACTATTTGCTACACGTGTAGGACTTATATATACTTTAGTTAGATTCATATTTCATATTATTCATAATAAATTTCAAATCAAATTGAAAACTGAAATAAATGCAGTGTGACATTTTTGTTTTTGAAAATCAATATTAGTTGTTTGTTGTTAGATATCTGAATTAGAATTACATAATTGCATTCTGTGGAATAAACTAAAGTCCTCTTCAGCTCATGGACTATAAATGCAAATCATTTATTTTGATAAATATTTCGTTCGAAATATTATATTTTCTACAAATATTCAAACAAATGTCAAGTAATGATTATATTTAAATCGAACTAGAGCTTGCAAGCTTTTTACTTCAACAAATACTTTTTTAAAATAATAATAATTCCATTAATGAGCCCAACATTATAAGTATGAAGAATAACTAGTTAAAGCAAAATCCTTCTCACAATAATGCAAATAGAAATGTATATAAGCTCGGTCATAAATGTATTTAAATAGAAATCTATATAAGTGTGTATGTCACTATAATCAGCCTCGAACACAAGTAGTGACAAGCACAGCCTACAGATAGGCTTAATGCGTATTTAATGCGTATTAAACACATGCTTCAGAGAGCTTACAAAACAAGCTTGTGGTTCGCATAAAAAACTGTATCATACCTTTCATCGCATAGAAGGAAACGAAAGTCTAAGGAAATTAACAAAAACAAACGGAACGGGTAGAGAATGGGGATAAACTTATTAATTATTTGTATACAAAAAAATTGCACACTGCAAAAATTATGGAATCCGAATGAATTAAATATGGACGAAAATATAAATGAAGTATAATTGTAGTCCTGAGAGTAGAAAATAACGTTATGCTATTTTTACATGGTTATTATCTTCTATACTTGTAGAAGTAGTACTAGTTCTCTTCTTTTCTTTTTGTCTCAGTTATTTATGATGAAAGATGTGGATTAACAGGGAATATGTTTGAAAATGTTTAAGAAAATTAAAGTAAGAGCAAGATTTTTGTTATCCTTACAGAAGGTGCTTTGGAATAATTTTTTTTATCAATTTAATGTGAGTCCTGATCTTTTTCTTGAATAAAATAACAATGAGAAACTAATCATGTACTGTTCAATTAAAGTTAGAATTTATTAATACTGTGTGTCTTTTTAATTTAGACTGCACAGGAGAAGGTAAAAACAGCAACTAAAATGTTCATTCAATTAACAATGTAAACAATGTAATTTATATAAACAAATACAAATGAACGTAAATACATATGTGTATATTATTGATAGCAGAGTTTCAAAAATATTTGCTGCTATTTGCAATTGATTTTGTAAAGTAAATAAAAGGAGCCATTTTTGCAAAAATATATATTTGTCTAACTTATTTGATTGCCGCCTGCCACAATCATATTCTTCGTGGTTGCTCACAATCAGGAAGCAGTAAAAACTTGATGCTAATTTGTATGGATGGCTGTTCTCAACATTCTTACTCCGTAGGAGCCTAACAAGTTGCGATGGCTTTGTAACTGTGAAAAGGTGATATGGGTGCGTATGTATGTGTGTGTGTGTGTGTGTGTGTGAGTGTGAGTGTGTGTGCAATCGAGGAGCACAGAATAAAGCATTGGAAAAAACAAAGTGAGGTAGAAAGTGCTAAACTGCTTGCAGTGTTGAACAGCAGCTGTGCCGTTTGAAAATGAAGAGAAATAGGAAAATATGCAAGCCTGATGTTGCTAATGCCGTGACACAGACGCACACTCACCCCCTCCCCCCCACACACACACATATGCTCAGTGCAGTTTGCATTGTCATCGGAGGGATATGTACGTATGCATGTATGTATGTGTGCATTGCGGTTAAGCAATTTGCACCAAACGAATTGAAAATGCTAAGCGCATTGGCTGCCGCATTTAACGCATACACACACACACAAACACATACATATACAAGTACGTAAATGATACTCGTGAGTACACTCACACCTATAAGTACATACCTAAGTAAATGATTGTAATATTAATTAATCAAAATTAAATTAAATTAAATTATTGCATGCGGCGCTGTTTGTATAAACATTTTTATTTTACCTTGGTGGTATATCAATCTTATTATAGCTTGGCCAATAATTAGTCAGTTACCAATCAATGAAAGTAGAATAATTTCTACCTTTTATTTTGTAAGCAAAAGTGGTAGATGTGGACGTTTTAATGATAAATAATTAATTTAAATATATTTTAGTAACAAAATAAAACTAACAACAAGTTCATTTTTATTAAAAAGAATGACTAGTAATGATATAGATTATAAACATTTTATCTAAACAATTTACTTATTATAATTGTCTCAAGGCATGATAATATTTTGATAGAGCTTAATATCAGCATTCGATTTTACTTATTGAATTTTAGTAAATAGAAAAATGATGAACGTTAAGTAGACAGATTATCAGTTTTTTTATTTTATTTTATTTTGTTTTAACTTTAATTATACTGTTATTATTTACAGTAACTTAAATTGAATTAGTCTTACTTAATTATTTATTTCATTTAATTATTAATTATTTATACTTTATATCTATTGGAGTATCAGTATCAGATTCAGCTTGTAAACCGTTTGATCTGGATCCCGTTTCAGCCCCGTTTTACACAAATACAAAAATAAACGGTTTTTTGTCTCTTGGCAGATCGTATAATGGAGGCTTAGAGGCTTAAGCTATAACTAGTCATATAATTAATTTCTTCAAGTGTTGCACCAATACGGCCACCATTTATGTATGTATGTGGGCTAGTTGTTGTTTGTGCAGCAGGTGCGATATGGCAAGCTGTCACGTGGCTGGCTATATGTCTCTGAGTGGGTGAGTGTGTGTGCGTTGGTGTGTGTTGATGCATGTTTAGTGTTCGCCTTTTTTGTCGCCGTCCCGCTAGGAAATTTATCCTGCTCTGTGGCTTGCGCTAAATTTCATAATTTCTGCGAGCGTCTGCGTGGCTGTCTGCACTCTGAGTGTGAGAGTGTGTATGGCGTGTGTGTGTGTGTGTGTGTGTGTGTGTGTGTGTGTGTGTGTGTGTGTGTGTGTGTGTGTGTGTGTCTGTGTGGGTGTTTATGTGTGCGTGCTGCTGGCTCCAGTCACGTGTCACTCATATCGGGAACAGCCGCAGCCGAATGCAATAAACAAAACCGCTGGGCTGTCTGTGGACGCTTGGTGCTCGGTGTTCTGTGCTCGGAGCTGTGGGGCTGGCATGAGGATGACTCGTCGTTTGTTACGCGCTGTCGCGTCATCAACTTTTCCTTATTCGATTTATATTTACGTGCATTTTCATGTGGGCTTTCCGATTTTTTTTTCTTGTTGCATTTGTTTTTGTTTTTCCTGTAACCTTTTGCACTTGCTAACTGAAAATATTTTCTCATGCGTGAAATTCATGACAGAGGAAGCGGACAGACAGGCAGACATACATACGTCAAAAGAATGGCAGGGGGAGGGAGGGGGAAAGGGTGAAGGTGACGGAAAAGTTCGCTGTCAAATCACTTGGGAAATACATAAAGGCTGTGTGTATCGTGTGTTATGTATACGCAGGGTATTTGATTTTATTCTGGGCTTGTTGGCAATGTGCGAAGTAAGCATTTCGAATATGCTTTAAATGCAATAACAAAATAAATAAATAAAAATAGTTGATGCATAAAGATATTTAGGTGTAAAGGTATTACGAAAATCATAAAATCTACCATATGCGGCGGTTAACATTAACAAAAAAAATGGTAACGTTGCGATTGTTATTAAAGTTAAAACATTTGGTGGATCCACGAAGTAAGCTACCCATAGGAGTTAACGCTATATACTCAACGCTATATACGTGGCAACCGAACCCATTAGTTGATTAGTTTGAAAAACTGGAAATTAACCAATTGATTAATTGTTTGATTACATATTTTTGCCAATCTCTATATTTATTTAAAAAATTTCGACAAAAACAATGAATTTGTAAATGGTGCAAAAATAATTTCCAAATCTTTCACCTGGAAGGAAAAGTTTTATAAATTTTTATTTGCTATTTGTTTGGCTTATCATTAAAAAGAGAATCTATCAGCAATGGTAAAAATAACATAAAAAACAAGCGCAAAGAAAGAAAAACTGGACTTCAATCGAAACTCTGTGTACTTGCGATTGTTGTTAAGACTGTTGACGGTCGATAGTGAGGTCAGCAGGAAGCAGCTGTCCGCTGATATGAACAATAATTAAAAGCAACCCTTGCCCACTTAGAGGCATGCAACAGCCGTTGAGGCAATAAGCGGGGCATTCAAATGGCCAGCGTCTGCTGGCAATTTAAGCAGTCTGGCTAGTCAGTTGGTGTGGCATCGGCTCCCCGTTGGCCAAATAATTAAGCGAGCAATTCATTAACACACAAGTTGGTCGGGATTAATATCAGCAAAGTTGCGGGCACTGTGCACTGGAATTTGTTGCCGCTGCTTTGTTTATTGTTTGTAGGTATTGAAACTTTTGCCATTCTAAGTATGCGTGTTTGTGGGTGTGGGGGCGTATAAATGTGTATGAATATGTATGGAATAAGGGGCAAATCAGGCATTAAGTGCGCCTTGCTAATGTTTATGTTCAAGCGGCTGTAAGTGTGCCATGCTTCATATTTCTGTGCATATTTTAAGGCAAACAAACCGCCAGAAGTATACTGATTATATGAGCACCTAGTGCTTAATTTTGCAAACCAATTAAACAAACAATTAATTAAAAATAAAGTAATTATGCTTAGCTATGTGTATAAAGTGAATACATATATGTTAATCGAGATTGGATGTGCAGATAAAGAGTCATAGAAAGAGGCATATCTAGAAAGAGAGCTGATAGAAGTTTTATTTGCGTATTCCTAAAATTAAATAAATGCAAACCTTCTGTCCCAAAGTTCGACTGATTTTAAGTGGAAATTTCGAACTTGTTTTTCTAGACAATTCAGAGACGAATTCGATTTTTGTATGTATCTAAATCGTCTGTAAAAGTTTGCCGATAATTTTGTCTTATCCGTTTGAACAGCTTTAATTTAACTATAACTAATTCCTATTTAATTCAATATTTGTGGTAATATGCGTTCTATTCATTATTTACTCCGGCTTTATAACTTTTTTTTTATTATCATTGCAGTATCAGATTTGAATAGTTTATTTAAAAGAAATAAGCAAAAATCTTCTATAAATCCTGCTTTCTAATATAAGTTCTAAATTGTCCAGAAAAAGTATTGAACGTGGAAGCGATTTGCCATTGCCAACATTATTTGCATTAAGCCTCTAATCATTGACACGTTTGCACACGTTCTTGTACGTATACCAATTCATATCAAGGGCTTGGTCAAGGAAAAAAGAAAAAAATAAGACTTATGCACGCCACAAAATAAACGCTACACATGGGCTTTTAAGTAGCGTTTGGAGAGTTGCAAACATATATTTGAAAATTCCAAACGGCAGACAAAAAGCCTTCCTCGCTGCATTTTCAGTGGTAACCAGCAGGAGCAGGACCAGCGCTAGCACTAGTAACAACGCCAACAACAGCAACAACAATAGCAACAGTGCAGCAACAATCAGGAGCAGTTTATGTCCATTGCTGTTCCCACATTGCTCGAGAGGCTTACAAATGTTTTTGTGTTGTCCGAGCGGCGAAAGTTTATCGCAGCACAAGTTTTATGTTAACGACAACAACAACAACAACAGCAGCTATGGCAACAACAGCAACAATATCTATATTGCCTGACTTTTTGCTTAGAACGAGGCAAGTACAATGATATGGCCGGCAGTTGCTTCTGTGGCAACGACGATGACAACAAAAAATGTTCCCCAATGCACAACTAACAAGCATATATGGTTGTATGTGTGTGTGGGTGTGTGTGAGTGTAGTTGTAAGCCAAGTGGTTGGATGGCTGACTGGACTGGCGGAATGGTTAACTGGCTGACTAGTTGGAGATAAGTAAATTGGTGTAGCATGCTTTTAGGCGCACAATTTGCTGAATTTTCAATCATAGAGGCGAGGCATGAATGCCGCTCGATTCATTCAACGTCAGCTAAACCATGCGGGTGTTATTAATGCCGCGTTATCAGCAGCGACGCCCCCTGCCGCCCTAGTGTCCTAGCGCCCTAACGGCCCATCGCCCATTTACATCCTTATGCCGTCGGTTTCGCGCTCAATCGAGCCAACATTGCAACAGAAGTGCGAACCGAACGGGTGCTGCTTATAAATTTCATAGCAGCCTCCACGTCAGCTGTGCTGACCCATCGCACAATCCTCAAGCCCCAGTCTCCTCAGCCCCCAACCCAGTATCAGCAGCACAGCTCTGTAGCCCCGTCCGCAGCGAAATACGCCGCATACTGCTGTTGCATGTTGTTGCCGCTGGCTGCATAAAAACCCAAAAATTAGCATAATTTCAGATCCCACTCACCAGCGAAGCAGCACGAGAAGAATGTACTGTGGTTTAAATTACATAAAATGATGGGGAAATTACATGCAATTAATAAAAGTATTGCATAAAAATATTTCAATGCATAATTGTTCGATTTTGTTGGATTAGTGAATACGAGTTGTCTTCATTACTCTGGTTAATATTTTTTCATGGATAATTATTTATTAATTATTTACTTCAATTACACGAAAAGAGGTCGTTTGTGAAAGCCAATTTCCCATTTAACTTTTAAAAATGTTAGGTTTTCTTTATCACTTACTGTTTTAGTTTATGGAAAAATTAATCAAGCTTATTTACACTAAGTGCCTTTTTTCACAATTCAAATTATACTTTAAAAAAAAAATTGTTTTGTGATATTCGTAATTCGGCTCAATATTTTATTGCTTGTAGCGGGCGCTCACGCAGCCTCACCATTATGTAAATATTCCCCCGAATAATATTTGATCCACACTTGCCCCACTTTTTGGTCGAACCGTTACAAAGCTCTGTTTATCAATTTCCACACCAGGTTGAATTACATTTAAATTCTACATTGATTAATGAAAATAAATAATAATGAACTATTTCAATTTTATTGCTTAAATTGGGCTTTCTACGAACTCTTCTTCTTTTCTTCCTCTGGCAAGTAGCCGAAGCGTATGCGCGCCTGCTCATAGAGCATAAATGTTATAATCGTATTTGGACTGACCCGCAACAGCGCTGGAATGAAGCCTTTGTAGAACGCAAAAGGTCCCTGCTTGGCAATGCTGACAACTACAGCTCCAATGCCACTGAATTCGCCCGGCTTTGCGTTCATATATCTAGTCTTAATAACATCGATGGGCTGGGTAAGTAGCGTACCAATGCAGCCGGCAATGGACGAGGTGAGAAAATGCAGAGGTAGGCCATCTTTCAATTCAATAGTGCCTTTCAGAATTTGCTTGACTTGGTCGTAGGCGGCATTGGTTCCGATTGTAAGCAATACGGCACGCGTTACGGCGGGCACAGTGCCTCGAAATAAGCTCCGAACGCCCTCTTCCTTTTGAATCCGGTAGAGACCATCAAAAACGTGCTTATAACTGATGTAAAAACGAATAAAAGGAAATACTCGACTTTATCAAAGACAATTGATTTACTCACCCACGACGCTTTTCTGGCGGCATTTTAATATCGTTCTGTAAACGAACCGTCACCACATCGCCGGGCACGCCCACTATTCCGCCCACTATTCCCGCAAACGTGGCCAGCTGGACCTTGGCACTCACATTATTCGCATCCACAAACTGCTTGCCCCATTCGTAGAGTGCGAACCGAGTCGTGGTATAGGTCAGCTGACGGAACCACGAGGCGGAAATGCCGCTATAAAATCCAAGAATGCCTGCATACTGGTTAATAACATATGTTTTGATATTTGGCTCATATTTGTATGCTTACCGGCCTTTTTAAATATATTGGATACGATCACTGACACTGGTGCTTTGTCGACCGCCGTCTGCAGCTGAACCTTGACCAAATCCAATGGATGTGTGGTGGTTACTGCAATAGCGGAGCAGACTCCGCCGGACCACCATCTTGGTTTTCTCTGTGAATCGCCCATTACCAATTTTGTTAATTTCGAAATTTGTGAGTTTTAAAACATAACATGCTTGTCATAAAATTCGATCGATTCCACTCTTATCAGGGAAAACAAATAGACAGACTTGCATTAAAGATAAATGGATAGTTGATTCTCCACCTTTACTTTTTAATTATATATTATCTCGTATTATTTAGGTATTTTAATTTTAATTTGTTATTTCAACTTCTTGTTTATTTTTATTGCCATTTCTTCATCTTCATTCATTTTTTGTTAGCTCCAATAATGTCTTTGGCTATCCTCTGTGAATCGGGGCATAGCTGGCCGTTTTGGAATTAAAATTCCCCCACCGAGTCGGATTCGATATTAGATAGTTTTGTAATTTCTAAATGCTTATTTGTTCTTTAGTTTTATTTGGTTGAATATTGTAATGATTTTTTTCTACTTTTTTTATATGGACAACTTTGTAGGTCAATGAAATAATAAAATAAATAAAAAAAGGTGGATATAATAAAGCTTGCTTAAATTTGTAGTATTAGTAGCGATTGAATCCCTCACGAAAACACTTTAAATGTACTGATATTTTATTAACAGTAATAATATAACTCATCGATCGAAGTTCGATATTGAGTAATCCTCAAAAAGTCGTTGCAATCCCTTTTTACCCCAAACAAATCCTTGTCCATCATCTGCACACAAAATAAAGGGTAGAAGCCAGCCTTTTTGCCCCACTGTACCATCCAGGACAGCGCCACACTTGCCACGGCCACAGATAAGGCGTAAAATGAACGCGTCTTCTGTGTGCTGCTCCTGTGTGGCTCTTCCCCTTTAGCATTTTGTTTTTTTCCTTTTTTTTGTGGCATTACATGCGAGCGCGTGTAAAACTTGTGGCATGTGCGCGGCACTTGCATGCATGAGAGTTGCATTTTTTTTGGGTTTTTGGCTTGGCCATGAAGTGGATATGGCGGCACATTGGGGCAACTATGCGCCATGTGCATGTGTGATTTGCATAACTGCACAACAGCGGCCGTGCAAAGGGCCCTGCTCAAGATTTTCAACAACAAAAGCACTGCAATGTGCAGCTCTTTTGTGTTGCATAAACCAGTCGAAATATCGGCAAGCATTCTGGGACAAATGATAATGGGAGTGCTGCTCAGAGCTACTGTGCTCTGCTGCGCTGGAGTCAAGAGAAGTGTAATCTTGGACAGTACTCGAGTGCATTGATTTCGATCCTGCTGCATATGCATCAAGTAGCCGGCTCATGCACATAAGGTGGCACAATATCCAAATGGAATGGGATGCTTCTTTAAATTTTTGAGCATTGAAACCCATAGTTTTATAGTATCTGATGATAGTCATTTAAAATCTTGTTTTATTTTGTGGTTCCAGTTACTAAGATTTTCCTTTGTAGACTTACGTGGATCCATACGCACAGATGTCAATGTCACGAACACAAAATTGATTTCGTTTCTATCGAATTAACAATTTTCCAAATTTTCCGTTACATATCAGAGTCAGTTGCCAATAGTTTCGGCTCGATACGAAGGGGGCTGCCTTAGCTAAGACTGAGTATTAATCATGGACACAGAAATGTTGACACACGTTAGCAAGTTGCAGACCCATATTCGTTATGAACTGGTAGCGGACAAGAGTCTCGTGCGTGTCGTCAGTCTGCCCGATCTGGAGAGTCTGGAACGGGCTGTTGGACTCTTCGATATGCTGTTGGCAAGACGACCACAAGTAAAACGCGAGCTCATCTCATTTGGTACACCCACAACGATGCTGGAGGGTCGCTTGGTGGGCGAGGGATTGGGTATTTTGCCAGCGCTGCAAGGACAGAGGGCACAATTGGTGGTAATGGAGCGTCCCCGAATACGAGCGCCTCCGGTACCACGTCCTCGCATTCGTGTGCACAAAATCATGGTCATTGGTAGTCGCATGGTGCGACAACGCACTGTCGAATTCTTTGGAGGCCGAGACACAGGATTTGATAGAAGGCGCTTGCGGGCTTCCGTTCGCTTGGCACGTTTGGGATACGATGACACCGAGTCCATTTGGGTGGGCCTCAATGACGATGCCGAAGATGAAGCGAACATATTTGAGGATGTCGAGGAAATAGAAGAGGACGAGGAGGGTGAGACCTTGCCACTAAGCGTTAATATGGCACGGCAGCCCAGGCGCGAACTTTCGAGGTTGGAGCAACGCATTTTGCGGAGTCGGCAGGCTCGACGAGAGCAGCTGCAAAAATCTCTCCGTATCCAACAGATGCGCAGGGGCAGCATCTTTACGAGGCAGGGTCTGCTTAGATTGAAACTAATAATAACCGAGTGGATGAGTTATTTCACATTTTTGCTTACAACCTGCCTTGAGCGTCTCTTAGGGCAGAGCTTCATGGAGTTCTTTAACTATACCCTTTAAAAGTGGCACCCAAATAATGCGCGATCCCATCAATACTTGTAGAACAACAACTGAGCACTGATTGCAACCCATTTTCCAAAGTATTACAGCAGCTCAAATAAACTGGAATTATTGTGTCAATCCTAAACAGCCAATAAAAACCCTTTGGGGCAGATAGAAGAGTTTTTGTATTGTTTTTATTTTATTAAGAAAAAGATTTGAAAGGATCAATAAATGAGATCAGGTGCGAAAGTTAATTTTCATACAGCCCTGCATGAAAGGTAAACTGGCTGCTTTTATATGAATAGCCTTTAAATAAATAGCTCTGACTGTTCTATGTTGTGTGTTGTTCACATATTTATTGAATACTAAATATTTGATATATCTATGCATAAAAATCTAAGCCATTGCTTTGAGCCAATTATATTTTTGGCCAGCATGGCACTCGAATTACGTATTTATGGTGCAATATGGCGCTGATTAAACGTTTCGACTTGCATGCTAAGGCGTTTGAATTTCCCTACTCAAGTTACACACGCACACACACACACGCACATACACACATATACACGTACACAAATAAATGTACACACGCAGATAACTCGAGCATATGCTGCAACAATTCATTTCCATGCCACTCAGACTCAACTGCTTATATTTGTGCTGCATCATCAAGTTGGTCGACTGCGCCTGTGTGTGTGTATGAGTGTGTGTGTGTATGGTTCATAATTCAACATGGCAACACTTTTGCAACTCTACCCAGAACCAACAGTAGCAAGAACACCAACAACTACAACATCAGCCAGCGCTAGCAAATCAACGTACAAGCGTCAAGTGTGCAGCAACGAATGGAAGAAAATTAATGATGAAAATATGCTCCCCTGACATTTTGCCATGCGCTCCACTGTGCGTTATGCTGCTCTTTTCTTCACGTCCTTGTTCCTGTTCAAACATTCTAATATAAGCCATACAGTAGTTGGTACTTGTATTTGTATAAATCAGCTGTACACTGATAATATGTATACACGACGCATTGATGTTCTATTCGAAATGTTGCAAAGATAATAATTCGAAACGGTTTCCAATTTGTGGACTGTCCAAAAGTTATCCTAAAACTTACCAATGTATAGTATTCTTTGGGAAGTAAAAATCTGAAAAATTTTGAGTAACTTTTAACCAGAATGGCAGAAGAAGCATAATGCTTTAAGACTGAGTTTAAGACTGATCTGCACATAACTGTACTATAATACGCTAATATTACCATATATTTGATATTGTAAAATAAATAATAATTTTATTTATTTAAACTTACTTATGATTTGCTCGTTTGATTTTTCTTCGAGCACATTATTCCACCTGTATTGCGAAAAAGGCCTTTTAGATCGAATTTTTTTCGACAATTCTTCCCTTCTATCATTGCTTTTACAATCCGAATTGCTATCTTAATAAAGAAATTAATAATAGAAATATTTCCTTACAAGTATTTAAAGTTCAACAATATAGATCGCTTAGTTTCTGAAGCATTTTTACCACACACTAGTCTACTGAAAATGAAAAACAATTTTAAAAGCCGATAGTTCACAAAAGCTTGTATTTATGAGTTCTTTCTGTAGCCTAATTTTAATATTTTTAAATTAAGTCATTATTATAAATACCGCCATCTCGCAAGTCACAAAAATATGCCTCACGTGCTGTTTTAGCTTCAGATTTAATTTAAAAATTAAACAGACAATTGATGATTCCCCATTAATTTATTTACGTTAAGGTTATTTATAAAATAAAAAGTGTGGAATAATGAGCTATAAATAGCAGATTTATCATTATACATCTGCTGGCTAATGTACGATTCGACATGCGTGCTGCACACAGCTGTGATATAAAATGAATTGATATGTCAGCATACATATGTATACTATACATATGAAGGTTATATGTCTGTTCATATATATAGTACACTTGATTGCCACCTGGTTTTATTTTCTTGGTGCACTGCAAATATGCACTTGAATATAGGAGTCATTAATAAATGAGCAGCCGGTCCCATGAGGCGTATGAGCAACATTTTAATTGTCCACATTGCTTTGGAAATTTGTCGTGGCATGTTGTTGGTCGCTCGTCCGGCTGTTGCGGTCCAAGTCCGACATGTAATTTACTCTGATTAAGTCAATTGCTTGCGTCAACAGTAAAATGCCACGCCCACATGCATTGCCTGCATTTTCATGCAAGAATCCAGCACTTGACACTAATTAAAATCCCCCATTGACTAATTTAAATGCCGGACCATTCAACTACTTACTTTTATTTTGCAAGTCAGTACAGAAATTACAGTCCAACCTACTTAGTTAATGAAGAATTAATATGTTACAAAATGGAAAATGTATAAAAAAGCTGGAAGAAATATTAATATCAAAAACAGAAGAATTCTGTCTTCTAGACTTAAAAAGATTAAATACTTATTTAAAAAAAAGATAAGTCATATATATATGATAGAAACTTTATTAATTTCATAAAATTTTCTGAATGATATAAACCTTTTAACGAAATAGAGTTGCCCAAATTAATTGTCTCATGACTATATTATGTACTTCGCTTTTTAAATACTGAATAATAAAACTAGGTCACAATTTGGAAAGATTTTAGGAAAAATCGGAAAGATTAGATGCGATAGGTAGATATGATGACGGGCTGTGGAATACGAGGACAATCTATAATGCTTAAAGGCTATAGATTCTGAACACCACTTCTTGCAGCAATGGCATCATACAATATTAAAGGACGATATTGACTTTAGGCTAGCTTGACTGTATCTGAGGTATGTTGGCATAAATTAAACGTTGCCTTTGTCGCAATAGTCGGTTTGTCGTCTGGTATTCGTATATAGTTTTGTAGACCTCCCCCCTCTATCATCAACTGAGAATGCATGGCATTTGCCAGTTTCTCGGTGCTACCACATATCAGGCCACACAACAGCAATACACAAATAGCAAATAGTATTGTCGGGAGGGGGTGGGGTGAGGTGAGGGTGTGTGTGTTTGCTTGTCAGAATCGAGTGAAGCGTTGTTAACTGAAATGGAGCAGTGGCTGCATCGACTTGACTGCCGCATGACTTGCATGATTTTTAATGAGATTTGTTGTTGTCCTCTTGCATGCTTCGCCATTTTGTTTTTGTGCTAGCGCTTTGTCAAGGCTCTTTCAAGGCTTCTAATGACAGAATGCTTGCCTCAAATGAACCACTTGGGCTGCCACAGCAGAGCACTCGTGCATTTATTCAAGAAAACTTTACAAGTAATCAGTATATCCAAGGGAAAGCACTCAATGCTCTGTCAGAGGTATTTTGGAATTACGTTTCGAAAAATTTCATTCGTTCATCAGAGTCTGTCCTGAACACTTCAAAATTTTTCGTGTGGTTTCAAGGTAGTTCTTTTAGATTCAAGGTAACAAAGAAGCAGAAAATAGTAGTTTTGTTTAATTGTGCAACTTTTTCTCAGCCATTACTAACGAATCAAAAATGTGCGGACCTTGCTATGCACCCTGTGGACCCTGCGGGCCGTGCGGATCAATCTGCTCGCCCGTCTGTTTTAGTGATGGCTGCTGTGGTCCCTGTTCTGGGCCGTGCTGCGGACCTTGCGGACCCTGTGGACCTTGCTGTGGGCCCTGTGGTCCTTGTTGCGCACCTTGTGGGCCTTGTGGTCCCTGTTGCGCCCCTTGTGGACCTTGCTGCGGGCCTTGTGGGCCTTGCTGTGGGCCCTGCTAGCTGGCAAAATAGCCATTGAAATAACAAGATCGTTGAATCCCAACAGCTACTTTGGACCACCGAAATGTCCAATTGTCCAAAACTTTCGTAATAAACCAATAATGTAGGAAATTATTCTATTTGTATATTCTATTAGATGCAAAGTCAATAGTAAAATAGTCAAATTGGATTCGGGTTAATTAGACCAATTTCCACTTTAGTCAATATCAAATTCGTTGTCGGCATCATAGCCCACATCAAAGATTCCCTCGTCTTCCTTTTGTTTAATTAGCAGTGAATGCTCTGTAGAGGTAAATAAGAAAAATTAAAAATATGTACATATGTACAATGCCTCTTCACAATTTTCTCACCATCTTGCAAATTCTCATCATAGAACTGTCGGATTCGCTTCTTAGCAATGTCTTCGCCCAGGCTGGCTTTACGCTTCTGATCGACTTTGCTGAGTTCTTTGCACCCTTTGATGCGCTTCAGCTGTCGGGCTTCATCCGACTTTTTGGCTTGGATCTGCCATTCCCTAGAATTCAGTTCCGGCGCAGATTGCACACCTTCCGAATCGTTCGATGTGCAGTTCAACAACACATCAGGCGCGCAGACTGCGCCGGGCTGGGACTCTGATAGGACTAAGTCGTGTAATTTCTGCAGACACATCGAAACGTTATCACAATTATTATAATTCATTTTGCCTAATTTGTCCACTTGCTGTTTTCTAAATAGTGACAAAACAGTGTTTGCATATGTCAATTAATTAGACACGGCACATTGATTCTTTTAAAAAACATTGTTGTCGTGTGTTGCAAAAGAAATCCACTTTAAGCACTGCTTTAGTGTGGGAAAACAAAGACCTATTGACAATTTCTAAGATATTGTTTGCGTTGTTTTGTATCGAAAAATGTAATCGAAACTTATGTATATCGAATGATAATTTTTGCGATATCAGAAAGAAAAAGTGTAATTACCCTTTATATCGTGACAATAATATCAGAATGTAGAAAAACGATAAGGCGTCGAAACTTTGCATCTTGGACAACACTTGAGGCCCATGATATGTTTAATTTAAGGCCCGAAATGATATATTAATACTTGTACACTTGTGGTTAGCAACTTCTGCTGCGTGTTCTTCTAGGAGAGATGTATCAACAGCATATGAAAACAAAATTCTATTTGTAGCGAGTGGTAGTCGCTTTAGAAATGTAATCGAAACCTATGTATATCGAATGGTAATTTTTGCGATAGCATGCAGCAGGTTTACAGTTGGAAAATTGGACCCTATAGTGGCGTTAATTTTTGTAATAAAGAGGTTTTCAGCAAGCAAAGAATAAGGTCTTAAGTCCTTACTTCATTAAATAATCATTTCGAAATGGGGACGATTCACTCCTTCCAAATTATAATAAAAGAACAATTCTACTAAATGTGATGCATTGATCTATTGATTAAAATATAGTGTTTAAGCCAAGTTTACGTCCACATTTTGTCAAATTCTGGCAGCTCCTGTTTTATAGTCGTCGTTAGTTCAGCAACGATGCCTTTGTCTGGGATCTCAACAAAATCAGTCACTTAACCTAACCTTCAGCTCAAATGCCAGACAAACGAGACAATGGTGCAAAACTCAATCAGTTTGTTACAAGTGGAAGCTGATGTCCTCCGCGCTCAGCAAATAACAAATGGAATTAAGAGCTGGCTTTTGTGTCATTTCTTTGTCGAATTCAATACGTAAGCTAGTATTGCAATTTAAATAATGCATCAAATGAATTACGTTTCCCACCAACTGCTGTTGACAGCTTAAAGTTGGCAACGAATGTGTGCGTGTACGGGTAGATATTTAAAGCAAATGAAGCAAATCCTTTGCAAGTGTAATAAAAATCGAATTATATTAACAAAGAAATGAAATGAGGCGCAGACAAATGGACAAGCGACACAGCGGGAGAAAATAGAGAGGAAAAGAGTAAAAAGCAAGCGACTTAGATGGCGACTGATTGTGATTTTTATGTCAAAAACTCAAGTAAGAAAAGACTCTGAGAAGGAATGGATAGACAGCAGACAGAACGCTTAAGCCACTACCTAGGACATGAAACTGGAGAAGGGCGTTGCAGGCAGCTGAGTAAAGGACACTATGAGAGAAATATATACACATATACCATTCTATATATGTACATATATATATATATTATTGTTACACCAAGCGGGGCGTCGTGTATCGTGTTTGTGTACGTGTGCTTGTGTGCGAGAGCGTGTGTCATTGATATATTGCATGACGTCGATACAGGAAGCTCACGCAGACACTGAAGATGGCAATAAAAGTGGTAATGATGTAGACGAGCAAATGAAAATGGCAACAGAAAAATATCCAGTCGAAATGTTATCACATGTGAGTCGCCCAAGGCGCCGAAAAAACGAAAAAAATGAAAGGAAAAGAAAGAGCAGCGGATATGAGAGTGTGCAGCATGTGAGTTGAAATGTATCATGTACTCGGATATATAGTATATCACATACATATATACATACATATATATATATGTATATTATGTGCTCAGGTCCAGCTACGAATTTAGTCACTAACTTTGGGAAAAAAATTCTATTATCACTGAAGCACTTATATCAGCTATATTTACCTTCATATTTAAATGTACATAGAAGCTAACGAAGAGACGAATGTGCACGAGGGAAGACACAAATCACGTATAAAATTGTACCAACCCCTAGTTGGGTAGTGGGGTGGGGGTGCCTTAGGGCCGCCAGGCAGGCAGGAAGGCAGGATAAATAGACAGGTAGACAAGCGACATGTGTAGCGAAATTGCAGCGGCAACAAAACTGCTCCTAAATAAAACATAATAAGGGTATGCCATCTAATTAAATACATCCGCATGTAATTTTGTAGTTTAATTTGTGCAAAAAGGAAACTAAAATACAACACACACACACACACTTACACGCAATTGCAGAATGGCAACGCCACCGGCTCATTGTTTGGGAACAGTGGTCGACTATTGGCAATTCGCAAAGAAAATTCCAACCAAGTCATCAAAATTAAATTCAAATTGGAACAGAGGGGAAGAAAGTAAATACAAATTAAGCAAGCAATCAAATTGGAAATTATTAAAAAAATATTGATGAAATAGCATCATTTTCTCTTGGCAGCTATTGATGCATAACAATGGCGCTGCCAACTCATTAGTAATAGCAAACTGCTAGTTGGCATTTCTCGGTCCGTTCACTACTGGGTGACAGCGGCTGTCATGTTTGTTGGAAAAAGCATAAAAACACGGAATCATTTACATTAATCCACCCTTGGTACACTGAGAATGATGTATTTCGCTTTGCTTACATATTAAAATGAAGCTTAACTGTTAATTAATGAACAACTTTAATGTATTTACTATTAAGATGTATTCCACTGTAAAAATAAACAAATGAGCGCACACGGCAGGCTTCTATATGGCAAGCATACATACACTCAACATGCTGCTACACACACCCACACACACACACACCACGCATACACAGACGTATGCACACCCATACACACGAAATGCAACTTCCGGCAAAATATTTCAGTTGAAAATTTTTAATGAGCTCGAAATTGTGCGCAGCAGTTGGCATTGCAAAGCGTTTACAGCAGTTGAAAGAATCAAAAAAATAGAAATTAAAATAAAATATGTGTTTTTTTGCGAGTTTAAATTAAAGTTTGATGGGCAATGAATTATGATGTATGATACAGCTGCTAAGGATGCGCTTTACTCAAATAGAAGGGGCATAGCACATGCTATGTATACAAGTATATGTACATATGTATGTAATATATACTTTTTATTATTATTATTATTAAAAGCTCTTATATTAAAATTTGCTCCTAAAAAATGTATTACAAGTAGTTAGCAGAAATACATCGGTGTTTTCTTTCTGATTTAAATTTAGATCGATTGAAATAATGTAGGAGAGGCGATGAAATCCAAAAACCAAAACTGGAAGAAATAGTAAAACGATGAATTAGTGGCGAATACTAACTAATTAGTAGTCGAAAATATAATACACATTTTCAATACATATCTAGGTATTGACTGGCTGCAAAACTTAAACTCCAAAACAATTAGAAGTAGCATTTACATTGAACCTATGACTTATTGTAGTCGAAACAACCATACAGATTAAAGAAACTTAAAACAGCGACGAAATTCAAAAGTCAAATTGAGAGAATTAATGAGACGAGGAAAAGTGGCAGATATCGGCATTGAATTTATAGAAGCAAAAATATCTTTACAGTAAAGCCGTATTTATTTTCTGTTTAGAAATTTTTATGTACTAGTAACACCTGCTTTTCTGCCATTTCTTTCAATATGCTTTTTCTATTAATTTGTGGGCAGTGCTAATAAATTGTTCTTCAGGCCTCCTCTTTGAATGCTAACAAGTAGTCGTGTAGGGCATATGCTTAACGAACCCCTACAAAAGTTATGAAATGAGAAAAATACAGCTTGAAACGCGATTCCTGCCCGTTCCACCCGACTCTCCTGCGATTCGCGTCTGGGATTTTTGGTGTCAATGCAATGCATATATAAATGTGCCACTTACATATGTATGTGTTATTGGGGTGTTGGTGTGTTTGTGTGTGCGCATAAAGCTCCTACGTAAAAAACATAACAACAGGCAACAGCAACAGGAGAAACAACAACCGAAAGCGTAAAGAGATATATTCTCTGTATGTATATAGCTATATACATACATATATATCAGGGACTCGAAGTGGAACCAAAACTCGCAATACGTATAATATATAGAGTACTCGTACGAGTATATCTTTCTATGTAGCAACATCTATCCATATATTAAATTGTAATTGTATTTTTTAATTTCATCTGAATATTTTCATTATAATTTATAATACTTATCAATTTTTTATTTTCATTATATTATTTTCTTTATATTTTAACTTAATTTAAATTATATTTTGATGTTAAAAAAACCAACAGAAAAGCTGAGTTACAAAAAATGCATAGCTTAGTCACTATCTGGCATAAAATCAAAATAAATATAGTGGTAGGGTTTTATATTTCGTTGGTCTATTATTGATCCATAAAATATTTAATAGAATCACTTATACACATCTTTATTTGGTCGAAGCCGATTCGTGGTTCAGATTTACTGCAATTGGGAACCCTGGAATGTAACATACTATAGATACATGCCTACATACATATATGTATGCATATAAATATGTATGTGTGTAGCTGAGAAGTTGACTGATACGCCTCGCTTGTTGCCCCCAGAAGTCGAGTAACGCCATTCAATGCCCGCTCATCGTTGCGTTTAAATGTCGTGTTTTTTTTTTTACATTTTATTTTCAGTTTTTGCGGCAAAAATACCAACAGCAACAACAACAAGCACAGCAGACAGAAAATATATCTGCCTGTCTGCTCAACTCTCTGTCAGAGTATAGGATGTGTGTGTGTGTGTGTGTGTGTGTGCGTCTGTTTGTTTGCGAACTGTGCACATTTTGTTTGACATTTTGTTTTAATTTTACAGATTTACTTGTTACGCTTACCTCGGGGTCCTCTCCACAGCCAACGTCCGTGTCAGACAATTGGGCAGACAGCTGAAACCGAAGCGCGACACATTCACACACACACACACACACACA